TTTTTTTTTTTTTTTTTTTTTTTTCGAAGTAAAAGGAAAAAGAGCATGGTAGTAGGCATTCGTATCATACTTCTCTGAATCTGTGAGTTTTAGGATGTCTAAAGACTCCGGTTAGCGTCTTACACCCAATTTAGCTGCAGCACTGTTGATTGTATCTGTTGAGTGGCTTTCTGAACATCCTCCATTTCTACTGCAGGTCAAAATGGTTCCTTCATGAGACTATTGGTTGAAATATGGGGGAAGCAATAATTTTTGGCTCTGTTTTTACATTATGATTTCCTCACAAAAGTTTACTCCTACAGCTGCTATCCAACAAAAGCTTTTGCAACGACATAATAATAAAAGTAATAACAATAAGAGTAATATTATTGTTATCTATTGTTATTGTTATTGTTATTGTTATTGTTATTGTTACTTTGTAATTGTTATTGTTATTGTTATTGTTATTGTTATTGTTACTTTGTTATTGTTATTGTTATTGTTATTGTTATTGTTATTGTCACTGTTATTGTTATTGTTATTACTAATGGTAATAGTAATGGTAGTAGTAATAGTAACGAATAATGAAAGAAGTTTTTTATATAAATGCATAAACCCAGAAAAAAAAGAAAAAAACGAAGAAAATAAAATATGAAGCAAATTAAACGACTAAATAAATAAAGGAACAACAACAACTTATTGACGCAGCAGTTAACGCTTATGAATCGCTTGAAACTATGTCATATTGAAGGAAAAAAATACAGTGCAGCAATTGGTTTGTTCACCAACAATCAAATTACCTTTTTCGGGGATTAAATTGTACTAAATTTACAGCATATATCACAGCATTCAGTGAGTAACATGAGTAAGACTAAGATGTTCGATCATTCTGCGTTGTAACACTGCTTTATTTAGAATTTAGAGAATAGATGTATCGTTAATGTTTTTCTCCCGTCACCTACAGTTCATGCTTTTCCCGTGGTTTTGAGCAAAAGTGATTACCATTTCTTTCACGGCAGAAGTATCCTTCTGGGCAGTGAGAACCAATGCATGCTAAAAATAAAAGATATCTTTCTAAAATTACTGTAGAACTGATGTAACACTCACTACTTTAAGTCTATTTAACAGTCGATTAAAGTTTGTAAAATTTTTTCAAAAAGAAAAGACAACTGCATGTTGTTTAACATTTCGATCATCTGTTACCTTTATTTTGCTTAACGTTTTTTTTGTCTTGTCAAAGGTGTCTAACAAAAAATGTAATTGATTCGACATAATAAAAGAGGATTGACTTGGCTGAACTTAGTATACAACAAAATTAGTTTGTAACTAATATACTGTTTTGAAAAGCGAAAAAAAAAAGGAGTAATATTTAGTAGTTCAATAAGTTGTTCAAATTGTTTCAAAAAAAAAAAAAGAAAACAGGAAGTAAAAAATTCGTTTCAAAAAAATAATGAACCAAAATTTGAACATAAAAAAGTTATGAAGTTTTTTTTTTCCTTTTTTAGAGCAAAGTAACAAAACTAACGTCCAATAATTTCTTCTTCCACGGGTTCAGTGTCGCCATCAACGTGAACATGTTTTATAGCAGCCAAATTTGCAGAAATTAGCCCAAGAATTATCCAGAGCATCATGATGACTGATTTTTTGATGACGGAATACGAATAGGATAGAAAAATGGACGACTAAAGCCGATGCTTTGGTTGAAGGGCTGCTGCTGTTGTTGTCAGATGAATGATGTTGTTTTTGGCACTCTTATATATATCCAGTGACAAAGTAGACGTACATTTCAATATTTTTATATGTTTGTTTTGCCGCAGCTGCATCTGTAGACGTTTTACTGCATCTGGGGCTTATGGCAACGTGTATTAAGCTGTAATTAGAGTAAAAAAATACTGCCCCCGATATAGCACGCTTAGGCATTTTTTCTTTGCTGTGTGTCAGTTTGTGCTGACGGAAGGAAAATATACTTATACACAGAAATTATATTACAGAATTTTAGTCTTTCGATAGTTGATGTCATCGATTTTTTTTTCCATTTAGTATTAAATGAATATCAATAAATTTGTAGCATTGAATTGTTGAAAAAAAAATAATTTTTTTTATTTTTATTTCACTGAATTTTTTGAAAACTTTTTGATGCACTTGGACAAAAAAAAAAAAATACAGTCATTTTTTTTTTCTTGCTATCTGTAGTGATTAAAAACTGACATTTAACTTGGAACTTTTGCTTATGCTATGATCAAAATTATCAATGTTTTGTTTTACAGATTTGGTTCAACAGCGAAAGGCTCAGTGTGATAGCGCGGTAATCAGTGGGACGACAGATTAGTGGAAGAAGAATGATAAATTTTATCAACAGTTAACTTTAATGATTATTTTATTGCTAACAATTTCTTTAAACATAACTATGGTTTCAATATTTTCACAAATGATAAATTTTTGTTGCTGCTTAAATGTTGGTTGGACAGAATTGCAGTTCATAAACTT